CCCTCTGCTCTGCAGCTTCTCTGCTTTCCACGGTGGAGACCCTGGCAGCATCTGCGGAAGGTAACACTTGTCACGTGGGATCCCTGTGGGCCCCCCTCATCCCCCACCCCCCACACCCTGACCGGGTAGAGGTGCAGGAGTGAGAGATGGGGTGCTCAGCACCCAGGCCTCTGAGTAAGTCCTCGGGCTGCAGGGTGTCCTGGCCATGGGCTGTGCCCCTCCCCGGAACTCCAAGATGGGGCTCAGTGACCCACCCTCAGGGGTTCCTGCCGCCCAGGGCCAGGGCCCACTCCCATGGCCCCCCCAAGCCACACTGGCCCCTGGCCAGGCTCAGGCACTGGGGTTCGGGCTGTGGGGCCCCGTGAGGCAGGTGCACACCTCTGAGCAACATCCTGGCCTGTGCCCTCCCTGGGCCCCCATCAGGGCACCTCGGACCATCTCGGCACAGAAGGCCCTTGGTCCTCCCTCCCGTGGGGCAGAGTCCCGTGCCCCCTCCCCCACCCCTCGCCGGGATTCCACCTCCAGCGACAGAGCTGGGGTGCAGGCCACACAGATCGGGTGCCGGCAGCCTGGGCTTTGGGAAGGAAAGTCACCGCCCTTTCTCCCTGGGAAACACTGGCCCTGAGACAGGAGAAGGACGGCCTCCAGGCCAAGGCCCCGGCTAGGACCCAGCAGGGACCAGGGGACCCGGGCATTTCTCTTTCTCGGGTCCTGCATTCCCGTCCCTGAGGCCCATGGCGTCAGGCCCGGCTGGACCTTCCCTGTCCGGTCCCGCTGGTTAGGGACAGAGATGTCGCTGGAGCCGAGGCCGAGCCTGGCTTCATCCTCTGTGAATGTGTCCCCTCCCCGGACTCTCAGTGCAGCGGCGGGAGGAGGAGGGCCCCTGGCCCTCGGAGCGGTTCCTCCGAGACCCTGCCCCGTGTTAGGGGCATCGTGGGCCTGACGAAGCCCGAGCGCCAGCGTCCGGCCAGGCCGGCGAGGGAAGGCTCAGGTGCGGGGCCCTCTGCCTCTGACCGGCCTGCAGACAGGACTTCCCCAGACCTGCCAGGCCCCCTCCGAGGGGAGGGAGCCGAGGCCGAGCCTGGCTTCATCCTCTGTGAATGTGTCCCCTCCCCGGACTCTCAGTGCAGCGGCGGGAGGAGGAGGGCCCCTGGCCCTCGGAGCGGTTCCTCCGAGACCCTGCCCCGTGTTAGGGGCATCGTGGGCCTGACGAAGCCCGAGCGCCAGCGTCCGGCCAGGCCGGCGAGGGAAGGCTCAGGTGCGGGGCCCTCTGCCTCTGACCGGCCCAGACAGGACACTTCCCCAGACCTGCCAGGCCCCCTCCGAGGGGAGGGGGGGGGTCGCACCTCTAGATCGAAAGGGCCCTCGTGCTGAAGCCCAGGAGAGGCTCGGAGGACACGGGGCTCTGGGTGCAGTGGTTTGAGCAGCTGCCAGGTCATCCTCTCCCCACGCCCAGCACCAGGCCGGCTCTTGCTGGGGCCGTGGGCAAGCCCAGGGCTCCTCGAGGCAACTTGACAACCACAGGCTTAAGCCAGCCTCGCACGGACCAGGGAAACACTAGCAGCGTTTCCAGGGAAGTGAAAGCAAAACCAGTCCGCCCTTCAGCCCCCCTCACTCACACACACACACACACACAAACACACAACCACTATTCCACACGGTGCTAAGGATGGAGCCAATGCAGTGAGACGGGAGGACTCGCTGAGAAGTGCCGCGATGTGAAGTTACTTCTGTATCCATTTCCTGGCGCCGGCGGGGGGCCCGTGTGGAAGGCCCAATTCAAGCTCGGCAGGTTGATGGGAGACACCCCTTCCCCTGAACAGGCTTGAAATACATTTTTATTGATTTCAGACAGGAAGGGAGTGGGAGGGAGAGAAACATCGATGAGGAGAGGGAATCATGGATTGGCTGCCTCCTGCAAGCCCTCCACTAGGGATCGAGCCCCCAACCCGGGCTGGGCCCTTGACCAGAACCCGGGACCCTTCAGCCCACAGGCCGACGCTCTACCCACGGAGCCACACCAGCCAGGGCCAAAACGCCTTCTAAAGTGAAAGAACGGGAGGCTGAGTCGGTTTGTTGACTTTTGCAAAGTCACACAGGAAGGCCAACCCCGCTGAGAACGCAGGTCAAGTCCCGTTCCGTCCGCGGTTCCCCTCAGAGGAGACCTGACTCTGTTTCTGCTTCTTCCCCTCCAGCCCCTGTCGTGGAGGCTGCTGCCGCCACCGTCCTCAGGAGTCCCCTCGGGACAGGTAAGGAGGAATGTTCCCTGGAGCCCGCCCTGCGGGCACAATACCGAGTGTGCCCTGGGGCTCCTCTTCCTGGGAGAACTCAGGGGGTGCGGGGAGGGGATGCCTGGGCACAGGGAGGCCCCTCTGTGGGCATGACCTTACTGACCCCGCCAGCCCCGCCCCATAGACCTGGGACGCCAGGGGGCACCTGTGCACCAAGCTCCCAGCCAGGAGGGAGCCCCACGGATGTGCCGAGGCCCTCCCAGACTCCAGGTGGCACAGGGGGGCCTCAGCCTGGGGGAGTGACGGGCACCACGCCCCAGGGATCACGGCACTGCCCAGGGGCTGCCGAGAGGAGGGGCAGGTGGCCCCACAGCCTCGCCAGGGAGCACCCCAAGGGCATTTCTCGCCGGAAGTCCTAGGAGCTTGGGTGAGAAAGCAGCCACTGCCCTTTCCCCACGACTCCCTCTGAGGACACACGGGAGGAGTCCGGTGGGTGGAGGGGCTCTTTGGGTGGGAGAGCAGCCACTGCCCTTTCCCCACGACTCCCCCTGAGGACACACGTGAGGAGTCCAGCGGTTGGAGGGGCTCTCGGGCTTTGCTTCCTGGGACGCACCCTGAAGGGCCTAAAGCATGAAACATAAGAGGAACATGATGGAGGAAGGCAGGTCGTGCTCCTAGGGAACCACAGCAAGAAGCCCTGAGCAGGGCAGGGTGGCTGCCTTCTCACCGCCACGGACGGTCACAGGGCGTGTCCTTCGACCTGGCAGGATGGCAGGTGCCTGCTCAGGCCCCGGCTGCTGTCCCGGGAGGGGCTGCTGTCCTCCCAGCCTGGCAAGGGCCTGGTACATTCCCAGGCTTAGCCTGAGGTCACCCAGGCCCACGGAGGAGCCAGCGAGCTGCCCAGTGGGCGGACCTGCCCAGGAGCCTGCAGCTCCGCCCTGGGGGTCTGTGCGGGGTCAAGGGGGTGCTCCTGCCCACCGTCCTCAGCGCGGTCGTGGGCAGCAGGACCTGTGATTGCTCCAGGTCCTCGACCATGTCCACTGACTTTTCTGACAAAGATGCGGAGATTGGGCCGCCCCACAGTCTTGCCAGCGAGTCTGGCTCAGGAAGGGACACGCCGGGCTGGGTGGGTAATGCAGGCGCACAGGCCACATTAGAGATGTGGAGGGGGAGGCTCGTCCCCAGTGGGACCATCCTTGCCGATGACCCAGCTGAGCAGGAGGCTCGTGCACACACAGAGCAAGTAGCAGGACACACATGGGAGCTGTCATGGTTCTGACACAAGATTTAGGAAGGTCTCCTTCCGGAGATGCCTCACCAGATGCCTCTTTGTTGTCCCTTCCAGACACATGGCCAGCTCATGCCACAGCTGCCTCACTGAGAACAAAATGCAAATCATCCTATCACCCTCCCAGGGCCGCTCTCTGCCTCTGAATCACGCCTGGGATGGAATGTGACAGGAAGAGCCTCCACATGGCCCATCCTCATCCTTGTCCCTTATGGGGGTGGGGCCAGAGGAGGGTCTCTGACGAGGTCCTTGTCTGACATGGTTGGCTGATGTCTTGTCTCCAGTGGGCTTCTGGGAGGAGGCTCAGCCAGGACCCTCCCCCTTTGCTCAGGGCCAGCCTTGGAGGCCTCCTGGGACCTGCTGAGACCCCTGTGCTGGCTCAGCCTCAGGGAGTGTGAGTCTGCCTCTCCTGTCTGGCAGACATGGTCCCTTCACCTCCGAGGGCTTTGCCTCAAGTGAGGCAGGACTGAGGAGAAGGAATAGGTGGCCAAGGAGGCCGTGGTCTTGGCCTGTCCCCGGAGCCATGGACCTCCACCCTGGGTGGCCCTGATGGATGCGGTGGGAAGTCCTCACCCCATGGGCCATCCTGGAGCTCCCTACCTAGGAGCCTCCTTAGAGCTGGCAGAACAGGACATCCCGATTCTTTCCCTGTGATGGAGATGAACCCCTGGGCATGTCCAAAGCTGACCGCCTGCCCTTGGGTGTGGCTGTGAGGGAGGCCCTGAGTCTAGAACCTGCCTCAGGCCTGGAGCTCAGCACAGACAGTGAGGAGGTGTCCTTGTGCTGTCCTCTAGGGTTAAGGACCAGTTCGGGTTTGGCCCTGAGGCTGGTGAACGGCGGTGACCCATGTCAGGGCCGTGTGGAGGTCCTCTACCAAGGCTCCTGGGGCACCGTGTGTGACGATGGATGGGACATCAACAATGCCAACGTGGTGTGCAGGCAGCTGGGCTGTGGCGAGGCCAGGTCGGCCCAAGGAAGTGCCTGGTTTGGAAAGGGCTCAGGCCCGATCGTGCTGGATGACGTGGGCTGCTCAGGGCACGAGTCCTACCTGTGGAACTGCCCGCACAGGGGCTGGAACTCACACAACTGTGGGCACGGAGAGGACGCCGGCGTCATCTGCTCAGGTGGGCCCCAACAAGTCTGTTCTCCCACATGGGTGGTGTTTTCTCAGCGAGTGTGTCCCTCAATCTGTTTCCTGTCAGAGTCTTTCTTTATTTCATATACCCTTGAAGAGTCCTAGTTCTCTGCCTAGTTCAGTATTAGTCTGTCCTGGTGCCAGGTGTAAGCAGGTGAATGAGGACCCAAACTGAGTGTACAGATCATACCTTCTGCCAATGGACACACGCCAGCGGCACAGGCAGTGTTGTGAGTTGCCTGAAAGGGGGCCCGTGGGTAGAGGTGCGGAGACCCTCACATGGCTGGCCTGCATTCGGGGCTCAGGAGTCCTTGCCTGTCAGTCTCTCCAGGGAAATGGGATGCAATCTCTGCACCAGGTCTGCTCTGCGAGGGCAGTTGTCTATGGTCAGGCCTGAACACACATTTAGGTTTGGGGCCCTGAGTAGACTCCTCACTCTTGGGCCCTCGTGCCTCCTAAAAGCTGTGTGGTAGACAGTTTCCTGGCGTCAACTCTGTGCCTCCATCTAGACACGAAAGGAATCACCTGGACCTCGGCACCAATGCCCCGGGTCTTCCTGGGCCCTGGCGGAGCGCGTCCTACAGGTTAGATGGCAAAGGCCCCGCCTTCCAAGGAAGGGCAACGGCATGGCTGAGCGTCCACCTGCTCAGTGTCTCCCACGATGCCTCTTGCTGTGCCCCCTTCTGTGCCACGTGTCTGATCCGACGCCCTCTCTCTCACAGCTGCCTGGCCCTGTCCACCACCATGCCATCTGAGTCCCGCTGCCTCTGACAATCCCCCCCTGCTCACCCCGCAGCCCACCAGGCACTCCTGGAAGGGACTGTGCCAGTTTCTGCCTCCCAGTCCCTCCCTGATGTGTAGATTGTACAGTTGTGCCCACAACACATTGACCCTCTGGTCTGGCTCAGAGTGATAAGGGCATTCTGGCTACAGTGCTTACCCACTCTCAGTGACAGGGGACACTCTGTCCTGGGGACATTCCGCTCCCTGTGCTGAGGCAACAGAGACTCTTCATCCATGGACCCCAGACAGAGCCTAGGAGATGCTTTTACCAAAAGACACTGCGTCAGGAGGTCACCACGGTTGCTCTCACAGACTGTAGCCCTGGTTGCCATTGTCAAGGACATTCAAGGACATGGTTTTAGCTGGTGGCAAGCTCTCAGAAAGGGCAACTTTCTCCCCTAGCCACAGAGCTTCTCAGGCCACCCTGTCCCTGACCCCCTGACCCCAGTAACAGCTCAGCAGACCAGATCTTGACTCTCTGCTTTCCTTTCTAAGCTGCTCTGTTTTCTCTCCAGTTGGTTGGTACACATCATTCCGAATGTGAGCATCCCTGGGTCTGGCCAAAGCATCAGAATTCATCACTGTAGCCTCCAGGCCAGGATGATGTTCTCTCATCTTGTGTTGGGTCTCCTCAGACTCTCTCCAACATGGAGAGTTCCCCCTACATCCCAGAATCATGGATTCCTTTTACCTACCAGTTGTGGGACATATTAGTCAGGATGTTTTAGTTTGCAAGTGGCAGGAGCCCAACCCAAACTCTTTGAAGCCAGAAGAGCACTCCATGGCTCACACATGAGGGACATTTCCTGGCAGAGCCAGCTTCAGGTGCTCCTGGATCCAGGCGTTACAAGACTGTTTCCGTGCATTTTTCTTACTCCTGCTTTCTATGTGTATGGGCTTCACTATCAGCTTGCTTTCTGCACAGGGGACACTGCTAGTGCCAAGGGTGGGGCTCCCCTTTTTGTCCTGCATTGCAAGGCCAACATGGTGGGAAACCAATTGAAGAACATGCCTCCCACAGCTCACACCCATAGGTGCTGTAACCAGCTCCATGAATATAAAGGGTTTTGGAGGAACTTTGGCCCGGTCTTAATGCAGGGGAATGTTACCCCAAACACTAAGGCTTGGCCCCGGAAGAATTAGGAACCTCACGCACACCTCAGAGCCTCTTTCTTCAGGCTACATTGCACACAGTGACTTTTCCCCTCCCTTTCTAGGAGCCGATGCCAGTTTGGCCCTGAGGCTGGTGAACGGAGGTGACCGGTGTCAGGGCCGCGTGGAGATCCTGTACCAAGGCTCCTGGGGCACCGTGTGTGACGATGGGTGGGACACCAAAGATGCCAATGTAGTGTGCATGCAGCTGGGCTGTGGCGAGGCCAGGTTGGCTCTAGGAAATGCCTGGTTTGGGCAGGGCTCAAAACAGATCGTGCTGGATGACGTGGCCTGTTCTGGACACGAGTCCAACCTATGGAGCTGCCCGCACAGGGGCTGGAACTCCCACAACTGCAACCATGGAGAGGATGCCAGTGTCATCTGCTCAGGTGCGTATCCTCAACTCTGTTCTCCTTTCATTGGTGGTGTTTTGTCAGCGAGTGTGTCCCTCAATCAGTTTCCTGTCAAAGTCTTTCTTTATTTCGTATTCCCTTGAAGAGTCTTAGTTCTCTGCCTAGTTCAGTATTAGTCTGTGTCCTGGTGCCAGGTGGAAGCAAGTGAATGAGGACCTACCCTGAGTGTGAGGATCACACCTTCTACTGACGGGCCAACACATGCCAGCAGCACAGGCAGTGTTGTGAGTTGCCTGGAAGGGGGTCTGTGGGAAGAGGTGCAGTGACCCTTACATGGCTGCCTGCATTTGGGGCTCTGGAGTCCTTGCCTGTCAGTCTCTCCAGGGAAATTGGATGCAATCTCTGCACCAGTTCTGCTCTGCGAGGGCAGTGAGCCCTCTGAGACCCACCAGGCTATGCCTCGTAGTTGCCTATGTTCAGGCCTGAACCACACCCGTAGGTTTGGGGCCCTGAGTAGACGCCTCACTCTTGGCCCCTCCATGCCTCCTAAAAGCTGTGTGGTAGACAGTTTCCTCCTGTCAAGTCTGTGCCTCCATCTAGACACAGACAGAATCACCTGGATGTTGGCACCAATGCCCCAGGTCTTCCTGGCCCCTGGCGGGGCGCATCCTACAGGTTAGATGGCAAAGGCCCTGCCTTCCAAAGCAGGGGGCCAGCATGGCTGAGCAAACACCTGCTCAGTGTCTCCCACGATGCCTCTTGCTGTGCCCCCTTCTGTGCCACATGTCTGATCCGACGCCCTCTCTCTCACAGCTGCCTGGCCATGACCACCGCCATGCCAGCTGAGTCCTGCTGCCTTTGACACTCCCTCCCTGCTAACACCACACCCCACCAGGAGCTCCTGGAGGGGACTGTCCTTGTTTCTGCCTCCCAGTCCCCTCCCTGATGTGTAGATGGTACAGTTGAGCCCACAACACATTGACTCTCTGGTCTGGCTCAGAGCGATAAGGGCATTCTGGCTACAGCGCTTACCCACTCTCAGTGACAGGGGACACTCTGTCCAGAGCACATTGTGTTCCCTGTGCTGAGGCAACAGAGACCCTTCATCCATGGACCCCCGACAGAGCCTTGGGGATGCTCTTACGAAAGGACACTGTTTCAGGAGCTCAGCGCGGTTGCTCTCACAGATTGTAGCCCTGGTTGTCATTGTCAAGGACATTGAAGGTCATGGTTTTGGCTCATGGCAAGCTCTCAGAAAGGGCAACTTTCTCCCATAGCCACAGAGCTTCTCAGGCCACCCTGTCCCTGACCCCCTGACCCCAGTCACAGCTCTGCAGACCCAACCTTGACCCTCTGCTCTCCTTTCTAAGCTGCTCTATTTTCTCTCCAGGTGGGTGGTACATGAGTTCTTCCTTGGTTGAGTCTCCCTTGGTCTGGCTAAAGCGTCAGCATTTAGCACTGTAGCCTCCAGGCCATGGTGACCTTCTCAAATCTTGTGTTAGATCTCCCCAGACTTCACCCCATCCAACATGGAGGGTTCACCCACATCCCAGAATCATGGGTTCCCTTCACCTTCCAGTTATAGGACATATTAGTCAGGATATTTTAGTTTGCAAGTGACAGGAGCCCAACTCAAACTCTTTCAAGCTGTAAGAGAACTCCACGACTCATACATGATGGACATCTAATGGCAGGTCCAGCTTCAAGTGCAGCTGGATCTAGGTGTTCCAAGACTGTCTCTGTGTGCTTTGCTTACCCCTATGTTCTGTGTGTATGGGCTTCACTATCGGTTTGCTTTCTGCACACGGGTCACTGCTAGTGCCGACGGCAGGCCTCCTGTCTTTGTCCTGCATTCCAAGGCCAACATGGTGGGAAACCAGTCAGAGAACATGCCTCCCACAGCTCATATCAATGGGTGCTGTACCTGGTTCTTTGAAGATAAACAGTGATGGATGAGCATCATCCAGTCTTAATTCGGGGGAATGTAATCCCAAAAATAAAAGGCTTGGACCCTGGAAGAATTCGGAACCTCACCCACACCTCAGAGCCTCTGTCTTCAGGCAACACCAGAGACAATTAATTTTTTTGTCTCATTCTAGGAGCCACTTCCGGTTTGGCCCTGAGGCTGGTGAACAGCAGTAACCCATGTCAGGGCCGTGTGGAGGTCCTCTACCAAGGCTCCTGGGGCACCGTGTGTGATGACGGGTGGAACACCAATGATGCCAACGTGGTGTGCAGACAGCTGGGTTGTGGCGGGGCCAGTTCGGCCCCAGGAAGTGCGCAGTTCGGACAAGGCTCAGGGCCGATTGTGCTGGACGATGTGGACTGTTCAGGGCAAGAGTCCTTCCTGTGGAGCTGCCCAAACAGGGGCTGGAACTCCCACAACTGTGGGCACCACGAGGACGCTGGCGTCATCTGCTCAGGTTGGCCCCCCGCACATCTGTTCTCCTTCATGGGTGATGTTTTCTCAGCGAGTGGGTCCCTCAATCTGTTTCCTGTCAGAGTCTGTCTTTATTTCTTGTTTCCTTGAAGAGTCCTAGTTCTCTGCCTAGTTCAGTATTAGTCTGTCCCGGTGCCAGGTGTAAGCAGGTGAATGAGGACCTAAACTGAGTGTAAGGGTCACGCCTTCTGCTGACGGGACCGCACACGCCAGCGGCACAGGCAGTGTTGTGAGTTGCCTGAAAGGGGGCCCGTGGGTAGAGGGACGGTGACCCTCACACGGCTGGCCTGCATTTGAGGCTCAAGAGTCCTTGCCTGTCAGTCTTTCAGGGAAATTGGATGCAATCTCCGCTCCAGGTTGGCTCTGCGAGGGCAGCGGGCCCTCTGAGACCCACCGGGCTATGCCTTGTAGTTCAGAGCTCATCATGGTGGATCGCACAGACTGTAGCCCTGGTTGCTATTGTCAAGGACATTCAAGGGCATGGTTTTGGCTCCTGGAAAGCTCTCAGAAAAGGCCTCTTTCTCCCCTAGCCACAGAGCATCCCAGCCCCGTGGCCCTCATCCCCTGACCTAGTGACCACTCAGCAGACCCGAACTTGACCCTCTACTCTCCTTTTCTAAGCTGCTCTGTTTTCTCACCAGATGGGTGGTACACAAGTCCTTCCTACAGTGAGCATCCCTTGGTCTGGCCTAAGTTTCCGCATTCAGCACTGTAGGCTCCAGCTGGAGTGGTATTCCAGAATCTTGTGTTACACAACCTTGGGTATCACCCCATCCAATGTGGAGGGTTTCCCCACATCCCAGAATCATGGATTCCCTTCACCTACCAGTTGTGGGTTTATTCGTCAGCATGTTTCAGTTTGCAAGTGACAGGAGCCCAACTCAAACGCTTTGAAGCCAGAAGAGCACTCCATGGCTCACACACAAGGGACGTCTAGTGGCAGGGCCAGCTTCAGGTGTAGCTGGATCCTGGCGTTCCAAGACTGTCTCTGTGTGCTTTTCTTACCGCTTGTTCTGTGTGTATGGGCTTCACTATCAGCTTGCTTTCTGCACATGGGTCATTGGTAGTGCAGACAGCAGCCAACCTCTTTGTCCTGCATCCCAAGGACAACATGGTGGGAAACCAATTGGAGAACATGCCTCTCACAGGTAAAACCCATGGGTGCTGTACCTGGATCGTTGAAGATAAAGGGTGATGGACTGGCTATGGTTCAGTCTTAATTTGGGGAATATAATCCCGAAAATAAAAGGCTTGGACTCTGGAAGAATTAGGAACCCCACTCACACCTCAGAGCCATTTTCTTCAGGCAGCACCAGAGACAGTGAATTTTTCCCTCCCCTTCTAGGAGCCGATGCCGGTTTGTCCCTGAGGCTGGTGAATGGCGGTGACCGGTGTCAGGGACGTGTGGAGGTCCTCTACCAAAATTCCTGGGGCACCGTGTGTGACGACGGATGGGACATCAATGATGCCAACGTGGTGTGCAGGTGGTTGGGCTGTGGCCGGGCTAAGTCGGCCCCAGGAAGTGCTCGGTTCGGACAGGGCTCAGGACAGATCGTGCTGGATGACGTGGGCTGCTCAGGGAATGAGTCTTACCTGTGGAGCTGCCCGCACAGGGGCTGGAACTCCCACAACTGTGCGCACGGAGAGGACGCCGGCGTCATTTGCACAGGTGTGACTCCCCATGTCTGTTCTCCTTCATGGGTGCTGTTTTCTTAGCAAGTGTGTCCCTCAATCTGTTTCCTGTCAAAGTCTTTCTTTATTTCTTGTTCCCTTGAAGAGTCCTAGTTCTCTGCCTAGTTCAGTATCAGTCTGTCCTGGTGCCAGGTGTAAGCAGGTGAATGAGGACCCAAATGAGTGTAAGGGTCACACCTTCTGTCGACGGATACACGCCAGCGACACAGGCAGTGTTGTGAGTTGCCTGGAAGGGGGCCCGTCGGCAGAGGTGCAGTGACCCTCACATGGCTGCCTGCATTCGGGGCTCAGGAGTCCTTGCCTGTCAGTCTCTCCAGGGAAATGGGATGCAATCTCTGCGCCAGGTTGGCTCTGCGAGGGCAGCAGGCCCTCTGAGACCCACCGGGCTATGCCTTGTAGTTGCCTATGGTCAGGCCTGAACCACACACGTAGGTTTGGGGCCCTGAGTAGACTCCTCACTCTTGGCCCCTCCATGCCTCCTAAAAGCTGTGTGGTAGACAGTTTCCTGGTGTCAACTCTGTGCCTCCCTCTAGACACAGATGTAATCACCTGGACGTCAGCACCAATGTCCTGGGTCTTCCTGGGCCCTGGCGGGGCGCGTCGTCCTGGGATAAATGGCAGAGGCCCCGCCTTCCAAGGCAGGGGTCCGGCATGGCTGAGCGTCCACCTGCTCAGTGTCTCCCACAATGCCTCCTGCTGTGCCCCCTTCTCTGCCACGTGTCTGATCTGACGCCCTCTCTCTCACAGCTGCCTGGCCCTGTCCACTGCCATGCCAGCTGAGTCCTGCTGCCTCTGACGCTCCCTCCCTGCTCACCCCACAGCCCACCAGGAGCTCCTGGAGGGGACTGTGCCAGTTTCTGCCTCCCAGTCCCTTCCTGATGTGTAGATGGTACAGTTGATTCCACAACACATTGACCTTCTGGTCTAGCTCAGAGCAATAAGGGCATTCTGGCTACAGCACTTACCCACTCTCAGTGACAGGGGACACTCTGTCCAGAGGACAGTGTTCTCTGTGCTGAGGCAACAGAGACCCTTCATCCATTGACCCCAGACAGAGCCTAGGAGACGCTTTTAGGACACTGTGTCAGGAGCTCAGCACGGTTGCTCTCACAGACTGTAGCCCTGGTTGCCATTGTCAAGGACATTCAAGGGTATGGTTTTGGCTCATGGGAAGCTCTCAGAAAAGGTCTCTTTTTCCCATAGCCACAGAGCTTCTCACCTCACCCTGTCCCTGACCCCGACCCACTGAACCCAGTCACAGCTCAGCAGACCCGACCTTGCAACCTCTGCCTTTCATTCTAAGCTGCCCTGTTTTCTCACCTGATGGTTGGTACACGTATTTCCTTGGGTGAGCATCCCTGGGTCTGGCCAAAGTGTCAGAATTCAGCACTGTAGCCTCCAGGCCAGGGTGACCTTTTCTAATCTTGTGTTAGACCTCCTCAAACATCACCCCATCCAACATGGTGGATTCCCCCACCTCCCAGAACCATGGGTTCCCTTCACCTACCAGTTATGGGACATATTAGTCAGAATGTTTCAGTTTGGACGTGACAGGAGCCCAACTCAAACTCTTTGAAGCCAGAAGAGCACTCCATGGCTCACACACGAGGGACGTCTAGTGGCAGGGCCAGCTTCAGGTGCAGCTGGATCCAGGTGCTCCAAGGCTGTCCCCATGCCCTTTGCTTACTCCTGCTTTCGATGGGTATGGGCTTCACTATCGGCCTGCTTTCTGCACGTGGGTCACTGCTAGTGCAGATGGCGGGCCTCCCCTCTTCATCCTGCATCCCAAGTCCACATGGTGGGAAACCTATTGGATGAGGGCCCCCCCCAAGGGTGCTGGGGCACCGTGGGTGACGATGGGTGGGACACCAACGACGCCAACGTGGTGTGCAGGCAGCTGGGCTGTGGTGAAGCCAGTTCAGCCCCAGGAAGTGCCCAGTTCGGACAGGGCTCGGGACAGATCTTGCTGGATGACGTGGGCTGCTCAGGGAATGAGTCCAACCTGTGGAGTTGCCCGCACAGGGGCTGGAACTCCCACAACTGCAATCACGGAGAGGATGCCGGTGTCATCTGCTCAGGTGGGCCCCCCAAGTCTGTCCTCCTTTCTTGTGTGGTGTTTTGTCAGTGAGTGTGTCCCTCAATCTGTTTCCTGTCAAAGTCTTTCTTTATTTCTTGGTCTTTTGAAGAGTCCTAATTCTCTGCCTAGTTCAGAATTAGTCTGTGTCCTGGTGCCAGGTGTAAGCAGGTGAACGAGGACCCAGATGAGTGTAAGGGTCACACCCTCTGTCGACGGATACACGCCAGCGGCACAGGCAGTGTTGTGAGTTGCCTGGAAGGGGGCCCGTGGGCAGAGGTGCAGTGACCCTCACACGGCTGCCTGCATTTGGGGCTCAGGAGTCCTTGCCTGTCAGTCTCTCCAGGGAAATGGGATGCAATCTCTGCACCAGGTCTGCTCTGCGAGGGCAGTGAGCCCTCTGAGACCCACCAGGCTATGCCTTGTAGTTGCCTATGGTCAGGCCTGAATGACACACATAGGTTTGGGGCCTGAGTAGACTCCTCACTCTTGGGCCCTCCATGCCTCCTAAAAGCTGTGTGGTAGACAGTTTCCTGGTGTCAACTCTGTGCCTCCCTCTAGACACAGATGGAATCACTTGAACCTCGGCACCAATGCCCTGGGTCTTCCTAGCCCCTGGAGGGGAGCGTCCTCCTGGGATAAATGGCAGAGGCCCCGCCTTCCAAAGCAGGGGACCAGCATGGCTGAGCAAACATCTGCTCAGTGTCTCCCACAATGCCTCCTGCTGTGCCCCCTTCTCTGCCACGTGTCTGATCTGACGCCCTCTCTCTCACAGCTGCCTGGCCCTGTCCACCACCATGCCAGCTGACTCCTGCTGCCTCTGACACTCCCTCCCTGCTCACCCCGCAGCCCACCAGGAGCTACTGGAGGGGACTGTGCCAGTTTCTGCCTCCCAGTCCCTTCCTGATGTGTAGATGGTACAGTTGATTCCACAACACATTGACCCTCTGGTCTAGCTCAGAGCGATAAGGGCATTCTGGCTACAGCGCTTACCCACTCTCAGTGACAGGGGACACTCTGTCCAGAGGACATTGTGTTCCCTGTGCTGAGGCAACAGAGACCCTTCATCCATGGACCCCAGACAGAGCCTAGGAGATGCTTTTACCAAAGGACACTGCGTCAGGAGGTCACCACGGTTGCCCTCACAGACTGTAGGCCTGGTTGCCATCGTCAAGGACATTGAAGGTCATGGTTTTGGCTCATGGCAAGCTCTCAGAAAAGGTCTCTTTCTCCCGTAGCCACAGAGCTTCTCAGCCCACCCTGTCCCTGACCCCCTGACTCCCTGACCCCAGTCACAGCTTAGCACAGCCGATCTCGACCCTCTGCCTGCCTTTCTAAGCTGCTCTATTTTCTCTCCAGGTGGGTGGTCCACAAGTCCTTCCTCAGTTGAGCCTCCCTGGGTCTGGCCAAAGTGTCAAAATTCGGCACTGTAGCCTCCAGGCCATGGTGACCTTGTCAACTCTTGTGTTAGGTCTCCCCAGACTTCACCCCATCCAACATGGAGGGTGCGCCCACATCCCAGAATCATGGGTTCCCTTCACCTTCCAGTCATGGGACAAATTAGTCAGGATGTTTTACTTTTCAAGTGGCAGGAGCTCAACTCAAACTCTTTGAAGCCAGAAGAGAACTCCATGGCTCACACATAAGGGACGTCTAGTGGCAGGGCCAGCTTCAGGGGCAGCTGGATCCAGGCGTTAAAAGACTGTCTCTGTGTGCTTTTCTTACCGCTTGTTCTGTGTGTATGGGCTTCACTATCAGCTTGCTTTCTGCCACAGGTCACTGCTAGTTCCAAGGGTGGGGCTCCCCACTTTGTCCTGCATTGAAAGGCCAACGTGGTGGGAAACCAATCAGAGAACATGCACCCATAGCTCATGCCCTTGGGTGCTGTAACTGGCTCCTTGAAGATAAAGGGTGACTGATGGCCTATGGTCCAATCCTAATGCAGGGGATCATAACCCTGAACAATAAAGGGTTGGCCTCTGGAAGAATTCGGAACCTCACCCACACCTCAGTGCCTCTTTCTTGAGGCGACATGGGAGACAGTGAATTTTTCTATCCCCTTCTAGGAACCAATCCTGGTTTGGACCTGAGGCTGGTGAATGGCAGTGACCGGTGTCAGGGCCGCGTGGAGGTCCTCTACCAAGGCTCCTGGGGCACTGTGTGTGATGACAGTTGGGACACCAATGATGCCAATGTGGTGTGCAGACAGCTGGGCTGTGGCGGGGCCAGGTCGGCGCTGGGAAATGCCCGGTTCGGGCAGGGCTCAGGCCCGATCGTGCTGGATGACGTAGCCTGCTCAGGGCACGAGTCCTACCTGTGGAGCTGCCCACACAGGGGCTGGAACTCCCACAACTGCAACCACGGAGAGGACGCAGGCGTCATCTGCTCAGGTGCGTCGCTACCATCCCTGGGGGCCCTTCTGGGCTGATGCTGCTGAGAACACACTCATTCCCCATGCCAGGGCCCTCGTGAGCCTCATACTGTCCCCCGGGCACTGGAATGACTCAGGGCCACAGGTTCTCAAGTGCTAGGTTACCTGCTCAGACTACAGGTCAGATTGGTGGGTCCACGCACCCAGCATCCCTAAGGCAGTGCCTGGAACTGGCTTGAAGCGGCCTGAGCTCCGTGTTCATGCACAAGAGGCAGCGTCCTGAGCACAGAGAGGATCCTGCCGTGTGCCCCCGGAGCCAGCTCACTCCCACCTGCAGGGTGTCTGGGGCTTCCACCAGGGCAGCTGGTCCCTGAGTGTGGGTGTTGGTGAGCTCCTCCCCTCTGTGAGGACGGTGTCACCTGGGGGCTCCCAGATAGTGACACACAGGGGACGCCCTGAGAGCACAGAGGTCCTTTGTGAAGGACAGAGAGAGTGGGAGGGAGCAGGGGGAGGTGGGGGATGGCAAGTGGCCAATGAATGGAAGGAGCCAATGGGAGCCTTGGGGATGGGGCATTATGACCGCATGGAAAAGTCTAGAAATCTGTGTAGACTCTCAATATCAGAATGGGTCAAGGCAGAGAGATCAGTGTGCACATTGATTGACCCCATTTGGTGGGGTCATTCCCTGTTCACTCTCTGGGGTCAACACCATGGCCCTAGTGGCCTGTCTCAGGCATGACACTGGCTTCCATTATCTGGACAGGAAGTCCTCGGGTTCAGGGAGGCAGGCAATGGCAGGGGACAGAGGGCGTAGCTTTGGAAGGACTGCGAGGTTCGGGGCAGCACTGCTGTGTCCACCCGGAGGCCTTGTGCACGGCGTCAGCTCCGTGTGTAGAAGCTGAGGGTCATCAACCTGGGATCTGGGACGGGTACCTGGGAGCTTGTTGTCTGACTGTCCTTTTCTCCCCACAGCTGCTCAGCCCTGAACAACCTGGTCAGGTGAGTCCCAGCCACCTCTCCTCGGATGTCCCTCTCTCCTGCCGACCTCTACTGGTCGGCATTCTCCAGCTGACCCATGGCTCTTTGAACCCCATCTGGACCACACTTTTGCCCTCTGTCTCCTTAACTATTGGGGGTGGGCAGAATTCAAAGACTTGTCTGTCCATCCTCCTTGTGAGTTCTCATCAGACACTTGGCGGCCGTCCCGGGGGAGAGCAGCCGATGGTCAAGAAGGGCCTCCCCTTCCATGAGGCTGACCTGTGATTCCAGGCTGAGGAGGGCTTTGTGGGATAGTGGACACTGATGCCCACTGGCTTTCTGATGACGGGACAGCAGGCTTCTGGGTTCTCTCCTCCTCTCACACCTGCCGCACCCTGAGGGCCAGCATGGTCACACCGCATCCCAAGGTGGCAGAGACAGTGCCCGGGATGGCAGTGAACATGTGCTGAGGGTCCTCTGGTGTCACCCTTGAC